CAATTAATCATTCTGTTCTACACCATTTACATCCATTTTTACATCTTGCATTTTGATCTTTGATGCATTTTTCATTCGTCTCTCTTACATGGAATCTTTGGCATACTTTTGGTGGGACTTGGAGCTTCAAGCGACCGTACTTGAAGACTGGGAACTCGTCTCATTCTAAGTTAATTTGGTGTGAACTAGAGAGATTAGGGTTCAATTAGGAATGGTTAAAAAGACTAATGTATTAAAGGAAAGAGGGAAAAGACAATGAAGAAATGTAAATTGATAAAAAGTTCTCTTAAAGTGAACTATACCTTATTTAAAAATAATTTGCTTCTCGAATTATGCTCACACATACAAGTTTAATTTTCTCACATAAGTTCAATTTTTTTACTCGTAACTTAGTTCAGTTCAACAATTTGATTTATTTAAAAATAATTTTTTAAGCAAACCTACTATTTAGTACTTTATAATATTACTATTGCAATAGAAGTAAGTCTTAGTTGAATTTCTTCTATTTTATTATTTGGTACATTCATATAATTGTATTTTTATCATGTCTTATAACAGTGAACAAAATAAACTTTAACTAATATTTTATAATAAATTGAAAATATTTTCAAGATAAAAAGTAAATTTATTAAAGTAGTAAGGGAAAAAAAAATCCTATGTTAGACTATAAGCTTAAATACTATTCTAAGTAATGTCTAAAAAAAATATTATAAACAAGTGAAATCAGCTCGTTTATAAAACACTGTGTTAAAATAAATTTTATATTTGAACAAGTTAAATAAAAATTAATCTTATAATAATTTATTTTATTTTATTGTATAATATATTCACATTTTTTAAGATAAAATTTAAAAATATATAAAGTTATGATAATAGTTATTAAAATAATAATAATCAATTGTTAATGATAAAATAGAAACATAAAATTTAATTAGAAAATAAGTTAATAATTTTTAATCATAAATTCTAAAATTTTATTTATTTTAAATAAGTTAATTTCTTTATAAAAAAATTTCAAAGATTACAAGCTAATTTTTTAAAACTTTTTAAACAAGAAATAATAGCATTTTTGTTTTTTTTTTTATGATCAGTAAAAATAATCCAATCCAAACACATACTAAATAAATAAATATAAGCTAAATATGATATTTCACAAAAAACACTCTAAATATAATTAGTTTATGAATTCTATAACTGATTATGGTAGATTTTTATTTATTAAATTTTTTGTTTCTTTTTTATTTTTTACATTGCCTTATCCTGTAATTTAAGAAAATATTCAAATTCATTATCAAATGTTGTTGATGTATTTTTCGTGGTTTGGTCAATAAAGGGTGGAACTAAATTGTGCGCACAATTGGGAAACCATATATGCAGCATGTACTAATTAGTTCTTTTATTTTGGCAATATAAAGTAGACAGATGCTAATTAGTGTTTGAGTTACTGGTTAAGAAATTAGTAAAAATTTTATATTAAAACATATTATTACCTCTATCCTGATGTTTAAGGTATTTTTAAAATGATTTTTAATAAAAATAATAGTATTTTTTCAAATAGTGCCCAGAAGCACGATTTGCAAGAGCCTATAAAGGATTTTGATTCAACTTTGAAAATCTTTTCTGGGCTGAACTTGGGATATAGCATTTTTTTATGCACTTCCTAATTGTTGAAAACGAGCAAAATTTAACAAACTTGAGATTTGTGAAGACATGCAGACACAACTTGATCAGCAGCAATGGTGCAATATATTAAAAACTGAAGGTGCAGACCAGTGGACAAGTTGTTCAGGCGAGTGCAGAATTCAAATATTTAGTGATGATGACATAACCCACTAGACAAGGGCAAATTAACGTTCTATGCCCCATGTTCACGAGGTTAGTGGAGAAACAATAAAGAAGAGTATCTTTCCTTCCCTATATCAACAGCCACAGCACAGCACTCACTGCACCTTATTTAAGATTCTTGTCCCTCTCCACTTTCTAACACTTTCACCAAATGATACGATTTTAATTCAATTTCTTGCATTCAATTCTCGCCAGATTTACACATGCATGATGTAAATACAATTACATCTTGTGGACCCCATTCTTATTCATATTTTCTTCCCCAAATATGGGTTTAGGAGTTTTCTTTATATCAACTTCATTTTTGTCTATAGTATGGTGAGATTACCTTTCTTCAGTAATTTTTTTATATATGTATATAATTCATATGCGAAAATTATGTAAAAATAATTAAGTATATACTATTTAAATTGACTCTTTATGTTACATTTTAATGTATAATTTTGAAAAAGAAAAATAATTTTGCCTTCTTGGTATGTAATATTTAAAAAGAAAAGATGATGATAGAGACATGATTGTTAGAGATAGAGTTGAAATAGTTTGGGAAGTAACCGTTGAAAAAAGAAAGAAGGAGAGGGAGTATTGTGTACCATACTGTGGTAGACACAGAGAGAGGTGTTATAGTTCCAATTGGGTAGTAACTGCGGTGACAAGAAAAGCTTCACGAGATGCTTGAGACACTGTTATTTTCAGCTCCCTCCCTTAATTCTCACTACGTACTTAGCCTTCTTTTTAGTTTTCTACTATCTTCCTAATATCAGCTAAAAGGATAAGATTTTGGTTTTATTTTTCAGAAAAATTCTATTCATACAATTTCTATGTACAATAGTATGCATTACATGGAGAAAAGATCAGAAAAAGTGTATAATAATATGATTATTGTGAGAGAAAAAATATTATATAAATCATATAATGATATTTTTTAAGCATTTGTAATATTATTTTTAATCAAACTTTATTTCAATAACTTACATCAATATTTAATGCGTAATTTATTAAAGTGACTCTAATTTTAATAGAAAAGTAACAATGCTTACAAAATAAGGATTTTTCTTAATATATATATATATATATATATATATATATTAAAATTATAAAAATATAATAAATAATTTTTTTTAGTAAAATTTTATTATTATTGAATGTTGATCCTCAACTCCTCTAAAGAATAAGGTTAACAAAATACAAAAAAACAACACTAAAATTTTGTCTAAATAAATATAGCACGCAGTTTAATATCAAAATCACAATCATTATATCTGAGGTTCTAGATCCAACTCCAAGTATTGCAGTCTGTGACAAACCTTATCCAAGTATTTCTCACACGAACATCTTACCAAAAGAAAGTGTTTTATTTAAATGATTTTATTAACCATTATTTTAAAAGAAACGATAAAAATATTTTTATTAAAATATAACATTTAATATTATTAATATATCCCAATAACTTTTATATATTAATTATTTAACTATTTCTCTAAGAACAACGAGTAATAATGAGATAATTTATTCTCATTTTCTGTATGCAGAAGATATATAGCGTATTTTGTTAAGATAGACAGGCAGAAAACGTTACTTGAACGGTGTCGCACTCATTCACCGATTTATATTCGCAATTATCAAAACAATTAATGTAAACACATTCATAATCATTGGTTTTGACTTGACCTTGATAATTAATTACCAGTAAACGCATCAATTTGTGATGCTAACCTCGTGCACTCCCACGGTTGATGATGAGGTGTTGAACTGGTAAAGGGAAGAGAAAAACAAAAAGCATGAAAGCGAAAAAGATGAAAAGAAATCAAAGCTGTAATAAAATTAACTTCATCCGTGCCAGTGATATTACTGCTCCTCTGAAGAGGGCTTATCATCTTTTTTCTATATGAATCTGTATCTGCATAACCTTGGCATTGTTGGCTTAGCAAATTAATAAGCAATACATTTATGATACTAATTCTCTCTAAATCTAATAGAAATCGATCTACCCCCATAATCCATCTATGTCTGTGAAAGGATAAGGCTGTGGAATGACGATGATAAAGCTTTCTTCTTTGCATGGGAATAAAAACACACGTCATTATACATTTCTTGTGTTTACGAGATGAAATAAAATAAATTCCACCTTATTCATATTGTCAAACACTATTCACGTGTTCATAGTCACAGGCCGTGTCTGGATAAATAGATAAAATGAGTGATGACATTGGCATTTACAAAAGGGAACAACAAGTTTGCTAAGGAAGCATCAAATTTTAAATCAAATGGGTATAATTTATATTATTATTATTATAACCAGAAATATACAAACAAGAAGTGTAGATAAAATGATAACTGATAACTTGGTGAGAAGGAAATTTTAAAATTAGCAAATGGTAAGAGGGATACACTGGCCCAATGAAAGCCATACTTAACTGCAACTTATCTTTGCTTGCGCTTGAAGTCATATTTTTTTAATTAAAACTATATTTAATTTTAATGTATTGAGAGTATAAAAAAAATGTGCTATAATTTAATACCAAATTATTGTATTATTAAACACTATTAACTATACTAACATTTTTTAAAATCATATTTATAATATATTTTATTAATTAATGATATTTTTTATATTAATAATTTATCAAAAAGATATTATATATTTATTCTGTTCTTATTAATTATTAAATGAAATTTTGGTGTGTTGGACTTAAATTAAATGATTAAGAAAGTATAAAAATTAAATATGGGTAATTAAAATTAAGAGAAACAAAATTACCCACAAGATAAAGTACAAAGAAGAAAAGTGAAATGTGTCCATAAAAAATATTATTAACCAAATTTTACATAGCTTTTAACATACTCTCAATATATTTTAATTATTTATATTAATTTTTAAAAAATCATAATTTTAATTGAAAAAAGAATATGAGACTTAAATGCAGCATCTAAGATCTTATTGAATTTACATTTAAAAAAATAATTTAAAGTGAATTTTGATCATGGAAGTAAAAAAAAAAGCAGGATGGTGAAACATCCTTCCACGTGTAGAAACAGTAACAGAGAAGCACAGAGAGAAAAGGGCACAAAGGGGTGAGTGTATGTGATACTCCATCCTACTCATCGTGTCAATGCATTGCATTCCTATATGGGGGAAGCGGTGGTTGGTTGTTGGTGCAAGTGTGTTGTAACGTTCCAAGCCTATGCTTCTCTCAAACAATCGCAATCTCTCCAAAAAAAGCCAATGCCCTTTTCCTTCTGCAACAACAATAGCACCCTCCTTTCCTTTAACTTCCCTCTCTCTCTTTCTCAACCAAAACCATCATCATGTCTAGAATAAACCCCAGCGTTGCGTGGATGGACGAGAGAGAAGACCAAAACTCTGCTTCAGCTTCATGGGCCAGAACCTCCAGGCCCAGCAACATCATAACCACCGACAGAAACACAAACACAAACATTGGTTTTGTCGAAAACACTAACAGAGACGACTTGGGATCTATCTGTGCCTTCAAACCCATGTTGGAAGTGGACGAGGAATGGTACATGACCAACCACAACCACCATCAAGACATGACCTTTTCCCCAAACTTCGCTGACCCAGATAACCTTTTGCTTCACGCTGTTGACTCTTCATCCTCTTGCTCTCCCTCTTCCTCCGTCTTCAACAACCTCGACCCTTCACCCTCTCAAGTTCAGTACTTTCTCCCTTCCAACCCCAAACCCACCACTCTCTCTTCTCTGCTCAACCCTTTTGACATGGCCTGTGAAGTGGGGTTTCTTGATCCTCAAGCTTCGTCCTCTTTGCCACTTCTCAGTAGAGCTTCTTCCCTTCTGGGTAACCAGTTAGCGCTTCCTAGCATGAACTCAGAAACACAGTTAACAACAACACCTCAAAGCAGCACCGCCTTTGCGGGGTTTCAGAACTTGGAAGAAGGTTCTGCTTCGAAGCCTCTATTTCTTAACAGGTCAAAGATTTTGAGGCCCCTTGAATCGTTACCTCCTTCTGGGGCACAGCCGACGTTGTTTCAGAAGAGAGCAGCACTTAGGAAAAATATGGGATCAGAAGGTGGAAGAGGGAAGTGTGAAGTGGGGGAAGGGAGTGACAAGAAGAGAAAAGAGGAGGTGGAAGATGTGAGTTTTGATGGGTCAGGGTTGAACTATGATTCTGATGACTTGACTGAGAGTAATTATAATAAGGTTGAAGAGATTAGTGGCAAGAATGGTGGAAACAGCTCCAATGGAAACAGCACTGTCACGGGTTTGGATCAGAAAGGGAAGAAGAAGGGAATGCCTGCTAAGAATTTGATGGCTGAACGACGCCGTAGGAAGAAGCTCAATGATAGGCTCTACATGCTGAGGTCCGTTGTTCCTAAGATTAGCAAAGTAAGAGCCCTTTCACTCCTCTTAATATTTCAATTGCCCTTACTTTTCATGTTCTTTGAATGTTTAATCCTTAATGCTTATATTATATAATATATACACCCATGAGAAACACACCACATGGCTTATAATGATTCTTGAAGATTTTAATCTGCGAGTGAATGTTAAGATAAGGATTAATTTAGTTTGGTAATCGGTGTTGGTTGGTTTGTGATGGATTCTATGACATGGTATGGTTGATAGATGGACAGGGCTTCAATCCTTGGGGATGCAATTGAGTATCTTAAGGAGCTTCTGCAAAGGATCAATGATCTTCATAATGAGTTGGAGTCAACACCTGCTGGTTCTTCTCTTACACCTGCCTCAAGCTTCCATCCTTTGACACCTACTCCTCCGGCACTTCCGAGCCGAATCAAAGAAGAACTATGCCCCAGTTCATTGCCAAGCCCCAGTGGCCAACCTGCCAGGGTAATGGTGTTTGTTGTGGCTTTCAAATATGCTCAAATCGACCTTGCTTCCTTACTTTTGATTCTTGTTACTATAAATAGTTATGGTTGTGTGGTTATGTTGACAGCAAGCAATTTTTTTATGTGGAATTGAACTTTTATTTGTATTTGGGGGGGGGGGGGGGGGGGGTTGTGGAAATTGGAATGAAGCGTGTATCTTATTGCTTACTCTATTATACTTATCAATCTTGGTTTAACACTAGGCTCATAGGCGTAGTTGAGCATTTTGTTTGCTGGTAGTATGATTTAATGGAAGGTTTTGATAATCCAATTGTGCAATTATTGTCTTCACCTTGAACAGGTTGAGGTTCGTTTGCGGGAAGGAAGGGCTGTTAACATACACATGTTTTGTGCCCGCAAACCTGGTCTGTTGCTCTCAACCATGAGGGTTTTGGATAACCTTGGATTAGACATTCAGCAGGCTGTTATCAGCTGTTTCAATGGATTTGCTATGGATATTTTTCGAGCCGAGGTAAACTTTTTATTCTGTTATCTACCTACATCACTTGGAAATCAAATCATGTTGCATCCACACTGCAAGGTCAATTGATATTTTTTCTCAATGCTTGCAACCTTGGTAATAGATATCCAGGCTACAATTCACTACCGAACTTTGTATCCCATCTATCTGGTACCTTGTTATAGATAGAAGAGATATATGTTTCATGTGGAATTCCTTAAATTTTATTTTAGTAATCTGGTGTGATTACTGTCAAGATCCATTATAAAACCCTACTGTAGAATAGTTGTCACTAAGGTTACACACACTGAAGTAGATAGCAATTAAAAGAGTTTTGCTGTATACTCCTAAAACATCTGTAAAAAAAGAAACATAATATAAAAATTTAATAAAATTCATTTTACAAGTTTAATTTAATTATACTTTTCGATTTTCTTAAAAACTTCTCATTTAACTTCTTTAAAACTTTAAAGAATTAGTTATTTTTAATTTATAAAAGAAAAATTATTCAATTTTTGTATTATTTTTCTTCTCTTGGAAAGACTTATCCACAACCTCACCACTTTGTTATTTTAACTTATATGCAACTTTGATCTATATTTAACTGCCCATGCTTAATCTTCTTAATTTTTTAATTGCACAAATTCAGTGAATTATTGAATGAAATTTTGAAGTGAAAGACTGAATTTGTACAATTAAAAAATTAAGAAGATTAAGCATGGGCAGTTAAAATTAGATAGATCAAAGTTGCATATAGGTTAAAATAACAAAGTTTATTGAATGAAATTTTGAAGTGAAAGACTTAATTTAAATAATTGAAAAAAAACTATGAAAATTAAGTGTAAACAATTAAAGTTAAAAAACTAAAATTACATAAATCAAAATACGATGACTAAAAGTCAATTAACATACTTTTAAAAATATAAAAAGCATTCAATCCCTTCTTTGTTTTTAGTAATTAGGAATTCAGCAAGATGATTTATAATTATTTATTAAAAAATCGTGGGTGCTGTTAAAGTGATGATTGTTTTGTAAGGGCTAACGTTCCCCTATTTCAGCAATGCAAAGAAGGTCAGGATGTCCATCCGGAGCAAATCAAAGCAGTACTCTTGGATTCGGCAGGCTTCAATGGCATGATCTAACGAGATTTTACAAAAAAAAAATAATAATAAAACTGGTGGATGCCGTTTCACAGTCCGTGTGTCAACTGTAATCAGTTTTTACTTTGCAATGTCCGCAATTCAGGCGTACAATATTGGATCTGGTAACTTCTGTTCAAGTTGAATCAGAAGAAATTTTCACATGAATTTTACCTCTGCAACAGCAGTTACTGGTTGGCACATATCACATGTTCGTGTCGAACCAAAAGTTGATGATATTCGAGTTCAATTAGTCCAAGGAAATATTTGAAGACGCGTTTTGATGTGAAACATTGTATTATTTGTATGACCAACCTATTGTCCTCTTTACTCAATTTTCAGAAAGGACAAAACCTTTCAGAAAGCGATTCTCTGTGTTTCTTCCCCCGATTATGGTCAGCACACACTTAATGTATCTTCCCCTTTAAAACCGAAAGGTAGCGGAGAAACAGAAAAGATAGATTGAATCTGCAGTATAATCGGCAAAATTAAAACGATTCCCATTGGAGCTTCCTTTTTAATCTAAAAAGACAAATGGAGTGAAATCCTAGGGTAGCACAAAGTAGCTGATGAGTACCATTAATAATGCGCCACTTCCAGATACTAATTGACCTATTGACTCCACCCAAAAGAAACTAATAGACCTTGAAATATCGTGCTTCCTAGAATGCCGCTTCATCACGTAGCCTCACTACAAATGTCCAAGGAAGCGATGACACATAACTAGTGTCCATTTCATCTGGTTTCACATTTACACATACATATCACTTTTGAGTCTAACATGACACCACCATTCCAAGTTCGCCATTCACACGGAATCCCTGTGGCCAACTGACCTCTCCCCAAACACGAGGTACAGACAAATGTTTTAACTTGAACAAAATAATTATACATCAAGTAAAATGGAATATCCACAATTTCCATCTCACAAATTATGATTAATAGGAATCAAAATTAAAATCAAATAAACCGGATACCAACCATAAGGCTGCCCTTGTAAATGAACTTCATTACATTAATGGGTTGGGTGTTCAGCGGGCGGGAGAGAAACAACTATGTACAACTAACAAGGAAGGATTGTTGAAAATTGGAAGATGGATATCAGCCCATATCACCTCGCTCAAAACACAGATTACAGATTAGGAGTGTATAACGGGCAGGCATAAACTACTAGATCCGGGATGTCCAAAATTGGATGGATACTCTTTCAAGTCATCTATATTGATTCCAACTCGATTACATTCATCTTCAAGTCATGTTCTTCCAACTGAATGGCTTCATGACAGTTCCCTACTTTCCAGCCCGGAATCTGTGGATCCAAACAAAACCTGACACCATAAGATACTTCTACTAAACTAGATTCAAATTCACATATGGCAACGTTACATGAGGCAATTTCATCTGGACAGCTAAAATAATTGAATCCAGTGCTCACTGGAATGCGAGACGCAGAAAGTTACCTGAAAGCTATGGAAATCAATCTACTAATGATCAGGCGTCAAGGCCATTATCTGAGTTTAACTCCTGTTGTGGCTGACATTTAATGTCTTGAGCATCTGCACCTTCACTAGCCGACTGGTTCTCTTCATTTTTTGAACCCAAGGTACCTGGGCTCATTTTCTGAATCTCCTCTTTAGGGTAGATAAAAATTTTCCGAACCATGCCACAGAACTCCCTAAATTAAAAATATAGAACTACGTAAATTATGTACCACACCCAAAGAAAAATAAAACATTTAAACAATCAGCGGATCAAGGATGTATAATTAAAAACAGATCCTTACTGCCATGGATCATCGCCTACAAGCATCATATCACCCTCATTGTCAGTGTAGACAATAAGCCAATCTTTTTCAGTTGACTTTAATTTTCCTTCAAAGTCAAACAGCTCATCCAATTCATCAACCAATTCTTTGTAGCCACTGAACTTTGCAAGGTCCACTGACCTACCAAGTGCAATCCCCTTCTTGTGAACCTAAAGCAAAAAGCATGTGGTTAATTTTCCCAGCGAACTTTGAGCTCTCATTATTTTATTCATCAGACAGTAAAGGACCTTACTTTAGTGCAACTCCTAGCAGAACCACCAAGAGGTTTGGCTTGAACATCTTTCATATGCAGCTGAGAAGTCTGTAATGGCTTGTCATGGTCATCAACAACTAGACCATCTGCTAGTTTCGAGCCCTTTGAGTGATCTGACTTTTGATCATTTTCAGATGTTCTTTGTTGGTGTGATGTAAGAGGCATTTGACCAGCTGGATCACTCACATTTCTTTGTGAAACAGAAGGCTCAGGTACTACAGGGCTACTGATAAGGGAGATGCCAAATAACTTACAGTCACCATCTTTTGGTTTCACAGCCTCATAAGTTTTCACTGACACTGGTTTTGACATAAGCTCTATTGAGTGAGGACTCTGATATTGAGTTAGGGGTGTGGGTGGGGGAGGCATCAAGTTTCCATGCGAATGCTCAACTTTATGACCATGCAGTGCAGGGTATTCACCAAATGCACTGTACTTCAAATTCCCTCTAGCTTGGTAAGTTGTATCACCACCATGTGCAGAACCTTTTGTATTAGGGTCCAAGATGTTCAGACAGAGACCAGAGGACATTACAGTCCAAGATTGCTTTCTAGCAGGAAAAGCTACAGTAGTCATTTGATCAATCAAGGCCGAATGAGAAGGATCTCCACTGGCCCCAAAGCCCGAAAGAAGATCTGAATATGTTGGCTCATTCCTCCCCATTGACATCCAGCTCCCTGAACCATACCTCCTTGAAGTAGAAACAACATCAATCTTTTCATCATCTACTGCAGGTGGCCAAACAACAGACTTCTCAGGAGTATCAGAGTCATTGCTTTCAGCAAAATTGCCTCTCAAGGTCGTGAATTCTTGACCTTGCAAGACCCTTGGAAACCCATTTGTTGGTGAAGGGTCTATGCTTACTTTAGATGATGCTGTTAGTCACACAAAACATATCAGGCCTCGACCATATGTTTGCAAAGAGGATATTCATGGAAACATCAAATATCCAGAACTGAATAACAATACCTTCTCTAGTAAGAACGGAGGAATCTGGGGATGATGGAACAGCATTAGCCCGAGGCCTTTTAGGCCTGGGCATTGAAAGGGGATTCAAAGCTGGAGGAGCAATAGCCGGCTCTATTTTCCAAGGGGAAACTCTCTCTGGACGAGGAGTGTTGGACGTTTCATCCCATCTCACCTGAATGACAAGAATAATGCCATTATAAAATGCCTTACTTAACATGTAATAAAAAGTGGCACAAAGACTAGAAGAACAACCTTGAGGCATCTCCATTTGGATTCTCTCCACCTTTTGGGATCAGCATCTTCTATTCCAACAATGGTACCAGTGAACCTACAATTTTAACAAACCATGTCAAGAGATTACTTCCATTCAAATTGAATTTTTAGTAATAATAAAGCACAACAGGATTACATTATATTAACAGTTGGAGAGGCAAAAGAAAAGAAAAAAAAAAAAACATGCACAATGACAAGTCAATCAGCGACGAAGACATCATCAATCCCTCGTACCTCTGCTCTGGAGCCTCTTCACCTTCAAATCTCATTTTGAATCGCATCCCTATGGTATAATTATTTTTGAGGGACTCCATATATTGATTGTACGGAACAATAAATTCAGCAGGACTGGTCCTGCAAAATAATAATTAAAGTAAATACTGTTAATCCTACATGCCCACTCTCAGGATAGGAGGTCAAGCTGAAATGACCAAGATATCAGGTTCAACAAACCTCGGCTTGTAATAAACAGTGAAAATGGTCCCCGTCCTGATGGCATGCCAAGCTGTTGCAAGGACCCCAAGGTGCATACTATGGCTAGATATAACTGAGGATGGAACGTTCCCCTGATGTCTCATTGCTCGCCTGACACCAACACGAAGCTCCCCATTCTCACCTCTGCATGTCCCTAAATTAGTTCCACTCTAAATAAAAAAGTGGAAGTAACAAAGCAGTGCAATCTAAAGCCCAGTTCACGGTATAACAAACCTAAGAAATATAAATGCATCCCCAGCGACAAGCCTTTTGGAGCTGACAAAAACACTCCAACCACTCTGAAGCAAGTGCCTACGGGGTTGACCTGAAATTCACTCAACTTATCAGTCACAATCTACACTCTACTGACAAGTAGAACAAAGACTTACACAAAAGCATTTGACCAAACAAACTAGACAAATAGAAAGGAAGGATGAGTTAGCAATTACCCCGAAAGATATGTCTAAATCGCCACTCATTACTGTGCAGATCCTTAGCCACCAATTCCTGGGTGGGTGGCTGCTTCGTCATGTCCTGTCAACAAACAAGATTTCATTCAACATCAGCCACCTATAATAAGAAACTGAAACAAAGTCCCAGAACGACAGTAAAAAAAAAAAGGCAAGAAACCAAACCAGAGGAGGAAGACATTCATCGGCATGCCGTCTCAGTACGGAAAACCCACCATGGGTACTGGTATCCGAGGCCGTCAGTGTTTTACAGAATGAATGAACGTGAAATCGCGGCGGCGGAGGTGGCGGAGGCTCCTTCTCTATGTCATTCTCATTTTGCTATCATCGACACCCACATTAAAATAATAATAATAAGCATAAGGATCACGTTTTCGCTCAATAACCAAAGCCAAAAAAAAAAATAAAAAATTTTGAGCTGGGAACTTACATTTGACTCGGGAAGTAAGGTGACCTGGGCAAACACTTCATCCGTGTCCGGCTCGGCCTGAAACAATCATTCTTTTATGAGGATTGCTTTGTTCTAAAGCATGGGAATTTTTTATAAGCAAAACGTGGCACAGATCGAACAACACTACCTTCAGCTGCACGTTGATGACCCGACAAAGGATCTTCGGTGGGAGATCGTAAACCGGCATATGTTGGTCCGCCACCTGATTTGTCGACGCCTCCACCTATTTCGCAAGCCACAAAACCCAGAAATCATAAAACCGAAACCATAACACCCAGAAACCCAAAAAGAAAAATAAAAAAACTGAACCCATCTGACTCCAATCTGTTAACCAGAACACAAATTCTGTCCCCAAAAAAAAATACAAGAAAAGAAGGCAAAGCTCCTAACAAATCTGAACTCAGCTCCATAAGGAAAACGGTGATTTCCAAATGGAAAAAAACATAAATAAAGGAATACTAATAAGTTATATCAACGATTTTCCGGAATTAATTACTTAATTAATCGTTTTATTAATTAACTAATCATTTATTAATTTACCTGCTCAATATGTCCCTGAGGAAAATAAAAGACGCGTTCGTCTTCCCGTGGAACAGTTACAAGAGGACCGGCACAGGCGTGCCACAGTTCCCTGAAAAGTGCAACTTCCGCGTCTGCAAGAAATTCATCACAGCCAAACAAAAACAACCGATTACAATTTCCAAACACTCCAAACAAAAAACAAAGGAACCTACAGTGTCAGTTACCTACCTTTCGCGGTGGTCGGCGAATGAGCATTCTGAGTCTCTGTAGCAGCGTTCCTACTAGCATCGTTATGGTTCAAGCAATTTCCGTTCATCGTCACCTCCGATGATGCCATTTCCACAAACCTCACCACAGATCTCTCATCCGAAACACTCCTCGCGAAATTCTACAGCCGTAAAACCTCGCTCGCAGCTTCTAAAACAAACAAACTCTAAAATTCACGCGAATAACTAATCTTCAAGCTCAGAACTAAGAACAGAGCTCGTGAAGAAGCAATCCAAATCCACAATCACGAGAGTTTGAGATTTTTCTTTTCCTTTTTCTTTTTTTTATTTCCTACTTTGTTGTTGTTGCAGGGAAAGCAGAGGCAGAAGAAGAAGGGTGTGTGGATTTTGTGAGGGGAAGGGGACTTAACCAGAGTGGTCAAAACAGCGTGCAATGATTTCAACCGCGGTCAATCCTTTAACCAATCTCTGTGGAGGGGACCGGCATTTGGCGGTCACTCTGGGCTTTGGGACCGGATACAGCCGGTGATAAATAAAGGCGGCTGGGGACAGGGGAGGTGGGGTGCAGACGGCGTTAACGCTGTCGAAGAGAGATTGGATTGGCATGTAACGGCGTGTGTCGTGACGGTCGCGGGAAAGTTGTTCTGTTTTTATTGGGAAATGGCATTGTCGTGCTATTAACGGGCAGCGCTTCATAGATGGGATTAGAATTGAATTGGATGCAATTGCATCCCCAAGAGTGCGCATTTCACACACCCCGGCGCATCTTAACCTTTTTCTTTCTCTACATATATTCAATATTGTAATATATAATTTCGTATTTTTACCCTTTTTGTAGCTCACCGTAAGCACGCGATTGTGATTGTGAACCGTAATTGTCGTCTCGTCTTATTCTCGCGATATGTGAATATTTATTAATCATATCGGAGACATTTCAACACATGCAAGTATGGAAATCAACACGACTTCAACCAAGTCCACCTTATTTAAATTATTAAAGCTTAAATATATTTTCATTTTATATTTTTGTAAGTTTCGTTTTTTTATAATTTTTAAATAATGACGTAAATAATTAAATTTATAGCATATTATTTTTTATTAAGGCATGTTCGTAAAAGAAATCAAATTGATAATTTCACAAAAATATAAAAGCAAAAAAAATTGAAACTAAATTTTTTTTATAAATATATAAGAACTAAAATTATATTTAAGTCACTCGTTGAATTCTTCTTTGCTTGGGGTCCAGCTCCATGAAATATTTAGGAACAATGCGTGCACAATTCCATATACTCGTAAGCAAAGAGTTGAATCATGGTTTCCTTTCCATATAAGGAAGGTGTTTTTTAATTAATAAAATAATTTTGTTATATTTTATTTTAATATTCAATCTAAGTATTTAAAAACAAAAAAATATTATAATAAAAAATTATATAAAATCTTACTATAATTAACTATTTAAACTAAAATTTAGAAGTTTCAGTTATTTTTTTATATATATAAAAGTCTACCAAACTTATAATATATTCATAAACTCGTAAATATACCCTGAAAGAGAGGATGCATGCATTCAAAGTCCAAACTGGAGTATCCCGTCTTTGAACGATTAAAAAAAGCTACCATTGTCTACAAACATAAATACTATGAATAAATAGGGAAAACTTACTTCAACGGTTTTTATAAAAAAAAAAATATAAATAAAAGTGCATCTATTTTTAAAATTTAGAAAATCGAAATCGATGTATACTTTAAATTAATTAAGTGCAAATATATCATTATTTATTCATTTTAAAAGCAAGCACACTTTGTAATAAGAATTTTTATCTCATAAATATAAAGCATCATGCACTTAAACTTTCCAAATAGTAATAGAGTAATTTCCATTTCTCCGTGAAGAAATAGAACAAGGAATTTCGAAGAAACAATCAAATTTTAGAAGGGAGGGTCAAGATTAAACTTCAGTAATTGACTGATTTTATAAACAAAAATATATCATAAGTAAATTTAATTTTTTGTTATTTTATTTGTAATCATATTTAATTAGTTTCTTAATTGTTATAAATATCAAATATTTTGTTGAATATAAATGAATAGATTGTTTGATATGTGAAGATAATAAAAATAAGAATATAAAACATTTTAGCAACAAATCGACTAGGTTAAAAAAAAGAAATTAACCAATGAAAAATGAAGGGCAAAAAGCTGCAAATAGTAATTTACAATTATTTTGTTCTCTAGATACTTACAGGGATAGAGCTGAGCATGGGCCATCTCCCATTATTCCTTGTTTCCATGCCTCATCTATGTCCTGGGCATGGGATAGTTTTTTTTTTTCTCTATTTCAGTTGAAAAATTAAGAGATTATATTTAAGAAAACAATTGAAATCAAAATCACATGTTAATTATAATAGAAAGACCAAAATTATAATTAAACCAATACATATAAACATATAGCAAATATTGTACATTTTTAAAAAAATTAAATAAAAAGAAAGAAAAAGACTCAATTATTTTTATTGTCAATGTTATTTTCACACTTGAAAGTTATATAAAAATAAAAGCGCGTTGTTTGTAAAGAGATGTAACGTGCACGTTACTTTTGTTTTTTGTTTTATGACAACTGAATGTGAAATCTTCCATATTAATATCCTAGTATTTGCAATTTTTATAATATTGCATTGTAGAAACTGTTTGTAGACTTTGTAGTCATACCAAAAATAAGGCGACCTCAAACAAGGATTCATAACTTAATTAGTGATTATACTGAGTTCCTTTGGGATAAATTTTGTTCAGCTTGCAAATAAGATTTTTCCTGAAAACAACACAGATGTTTCACTTTCTTTAAAAGAAAAAACCTTCTGAACTCAAATTATTAAATAGATACAAAAAGAATCTTAAAAATTTGTTCGGTTGACACGAAATACAATATATATTTAATGACTATTTTGTTTTACAATAATCAATTCTAATATTTATTAAAACACTTCATTGGGATTTGGGGCTTTTGTTCCACTACATCATGAAACTACGATAATGTTATCCAAAAGGAAAAAATATTTTAATTATGGTCATTTAATTTGGGACACTTTGCGGATTCACATATTATAAAACGAAAGATTATTTGTTTTAGGGGATGAAAGTGTTACATATGTATTATTAATTAAAATTTATAAAACTAATATATTGATTTATGCGATGCACAGGTGTATTATTATGTAATAAGAATATTAATTTTATAATAATTAGAAAGCGAAGAGATAAGAGGGATGAGAAAATGAAGAGAAAGCGAAGCGAAGGGGGCAAAGCACGTGAAGAGAAGAGGAAAGTGAGTGGGACCCAGTGGTGTTGTATAATAGGCAATAGCAGGTGTGTGTCAGTGTGTGTCTATGGTCCAAACCAACAACAAGGAAAGGAATCTTTGTCCCCTCACAAATTCTATTTCACTCACTCGCCACCCTTCCCACACTGCATTCCCCATATCACCCCTATTTTATATTATTTTTCAATTTCTTTTTTACATATTAACTTTTACTATTTTTCTATGAAAATCGAATATTCATTATCATGATTATGGAAAGTGTAAACATGCCAATTTTAACTAATGTATATGGATCGCTTTAGTATTATAAAATTACTATTTTTTCACCTATTACAACCTTTTTTTTACAAATCGTGTGTGAGAGAATAAGATGAACTGGTTTAGATATTGAATGTGATTCTTGATATGAAATGTCACATGAGCACCAAAAGATAAAATGTATTGAGAGAGGTTCATTCTAAAAAATGAGAGCTTAAATTTCAGAGTTGATTACATCTTATTTATTTTAAAGTTGAAATATCACAAACACACGTTATTAGAAATTTAGAATATTTGTTTTCTATTTTTGTTGATGGACTCAAAAGTTGTCATGTTATTTGACTCTCCGTTTGATCAAGGGAAGATGAGAGTAAGTGAACAAGTGGATTTTTGTTTACGTTTTACAACAATGTGAACTAAACAATTAGTTTATGATCAATTCAAATTGTGACAATTTCTAAAATATAATTCGTCTGATGAGGTTTAAAATATGCTCTTAAGATTATTCAAAGTAAAATTTGTCAGTTCTTGTTAACATATATATATATATGACCTTTGTGGGGTTACTTTTAACTTACAGTTGTTTAAATTGACCTGATTAATCCGTGCTTATAACAATCGTAACAATGAACTATTGTCTTTTAATGGAACATTTTCAACATTTCTATGGCTAGAAAACCTATTCGAACATGGAATCTTATGTTTACCATTAACCAGAAGTTCTTTTCCACCAAGCTAGGGTTCTCATCTTTTGTCTGTTCTTCAATTGTTTATCGTATCTCTGTTATCCTTGTAACATAAATCAGTACCCACTCTGTAACTTTCCTAATTTATATTCCATAAAAATTTAACCTTAGGTCCAAGTATTCAACCTCATGCCAGAATAATGCAGTGTTTAAATACATTGATGTAATGTTGACAAATTTTGTAATGGATCAATGATAAAATAGTGTCACATCGTGAATAAATATAAAATTAAATAATAAATACACTAGAATTTAAATTAAAATCTAAAACAAAAATTCTAACTTCCATCCCTCTCCTGCTCTTTTTCTTATTTTGCTATATCTTTTTCTATGATATTCTTTCTTGATTTTCATCCAAAATTAACTTATGATTCTTTTAAATTTTAATAAAATTTGATATAATTTAGGCTAAATTAATAAATTGCATGGTCTCTTACCTTTATATTTTATTTTTGTTTAGTCCTTTAATTTTTTTTATTTCATTTTAATCCCTTGGTATAAAAAAATTAAATAAGCTTTTTTTAAATTTTAATTTCATAAAAAAATTATTATTTATCATCATTCTTCTTGCAAACAAAAATATAATATATTTCAATAAAAATTTTATTATCTTTTTTTTTCTTATTATTTTCTTCTTCTTCTTTTTCATGTATATATCTTTATTCGTTTCTTTTCTTATTTGACTTACGTTAATTTATTTCTCTTCTTGTTTCTTTCTTTTTCTCCTTTTACACATTTTTTGGAACTTTAATAAAAAAATTCTTTTTATTTTTTTAACAATAGTGATTATTTTGATTAATAAAATTTATATTGTAAATGTATGTATAGATAAAGAAGGAAAGGACTTAAAATTTTTATACATATAATTATTTTTTTAAGATGTGTGATAAAAAATTAAATTTAATGAATCTAAATTTATGTTGTTACCAAAACACTAAGACTTCGGAAAGGTAAGTGAACCATTGATTATTGAACGAGAGATCTAAATAGAATTGAGCTTTTGAATTAAGGAGGACAAAGAAAGAAAAAGGAAAAAAAATATTTTTGTTAGACTTTAAAAGGAAAAGAAATATAAATGATAGCTAAGAGAAAGAGAGGAAAAAATAATAGATTTTTCTTTAAGTGTTTAAAAGAAAAGAAAAATAAGTTAAGAGACGTAGATGAAAGAAATAATAATATATATATATATATATATATACTATATTTTTACAAGAAATGTGAATAAGCCAGTTTTTTTATTAGAATAACATTTAAAAAAATATTTTAAAAAAAAAAGACTAAACAAAAAAAAATAAAAGGTTAAATATGCAATTAAATTCTCAAGATTCATCGAACGACTCTCTCGACAACCCATGACACTACTTTGAAGCTCTTCTTGCAATCCAAAAACAAGTAGGAATATATAAGAAAGAAAGACATGA